CATCACACTGAGGTGTAGTCTGGTGCTCCGGGACTAACACACAAACAACATAACAGAAAACCGGCGACTTAGTAACATAGAGTTTAAAAACACACTGAGGTGTAGTCTGGTGCTCCGTGGCGACCATCAAACAGCAGCACAGAAACCAAATTATGAAAACTCGAACCAAAAATCCCTAAAGTGTTGTCTGGTGCTTAAGAACGAACAGGAAACAATTGTACAAAAAAAAATTTAGCAACACGAAATAAACAAACCCTGAGGTGTAGTCTGTTTCTCCAGGACGAACGGACAAACAACAGTAGAAAACACACTAGAGACTGAGCAACACGAACCTAACAAAGCTTTGAAAAATCCTGAGGTGTAGTCTGCTGCTCCGGGACGAACAGACAAACAACAATATAGAAACCAGAGAAACATGAACCCAACAAAACACGCTGGTGTAGTCTGGTGCTGTGGACGAACATGCAAACCACAGTACAGACACTAGAGACTAGCAAAACTAACCCCATAAAAATACTCAGGTGTAGTCTGGTGCTCCGGAACCAACAGACTAAAACAGTACAGAAATCCAAAGACTGAACAAAACAGACCCCACAAAACCCTGATGTGTAGTCTTGTGGTCCGGGAAGAACACACAAACAACGGAAAGAAAACTAGAAACTGAGCAACACGAACCCCACAAAACCCTGTGGTTGAGGCTGGTGCTCGGAATGGTTAGCAGCTCCTGCTCCAGTTGTTACAACAGTCGTATTGTCGTTCATAGTACATTTCCGGTGACGAGTCACCATAAAATAGTGGATTGACAAATGGTCTTGTCTAACTTTAAGATGTATATAAACCGTTAGTACCTGTCACTATTACTTATTATCATAAGACAATAAAATATGCAACTTCAATCTAAATACAATTATTATGGAATGTGAGGTGTACATCTACAATGAATATTTGTTCGCAGCTCTTGAAGTTAAAAGGTTTTTAATTGATTTAATTACCGATAAAGATCTTTCATTTTCCGATCGTAATACTTGTTCTTTCAAGGTAATTATCCTCGATATACCAAATGACTGCTGTGATGACTTTGACAATAATTGTTCTTGATAAACGAAATATCAGCCGTGATAATTTTCATGGCTGTTCTCGATATACCAAATGACAGCCGTGATTACTTTAGATAACTACTCTCGATATACCACATGACAGCCGTGATTTCTCTTAAAACAACAGCCGTGATTATTTTCATGGAAATTGTTCTCGATATACCAAATGACAGTCGTAATAACTTTCACGATAATCCATCTCGATATACCAAATGACAGCCGTGAATACCCTCAAGATAATTGTTCTCGATAATCCAAATGACAGCCGTGATTACTTTAACGATACTTGTTCTCGATATACCAAATGACAGACATGATTACTTTCACGAAAATCCTTCTCGATATAACAAATAACAGGCGTGATTACTTTCAAGGTAATTGTTCTCGATATATCAAATGACAGCCGTGATTACTTTCAAGGAAATTGTTCTCGGTATACCAAATGACAGTCGTAATTACTTTCACGATAATCCATCTCGATATACCAAATGACAGCCGTGAATACTCTCAAGATAATTGTTCTCGATATTCGAAATGACAGCCGTGATTACTTTCACGATACTTGTTCTCGATATACCATATGACAGCTGCAATTACCTTCATGATAATTGTTCTTGATATACCAAATGGCAGCCGTGATTACTTTCACGAAAATCCTTCTCGATATAACAAATAACAGGCGTGATTACTTACAAGGTAATTGTTCTCGATATATCAAATGACAGCCATGATTAGTTTCAAGGTTATTGTTCTCGATATACCAAATGACAGGCATGATTACCTTCATGATAATTGTTCTCCATATATCAAATGACAGCCGTGATTACTTTCAAGATAATTGTTCTCGATAATCCAAATGACAGCCGTGATTACTTTAACGATACTTGTTCTCGATATACCAAATGACAGACATGATTACTTTCATGAAAATCCTTCTCGATATAACAAATAACAGGCGTGATTACTTTCAAGGTAATTGTTCTCGATATATCAAATGACAGCCGTGATTACTTTCATGGAAATTGTTCTCTGTATACCAAATGACAGTCGTAATTACTTTCACGATAATCCATCTCGATATACCAAATGACAGCCGTGAATACTCTCAAAATAATTGTTCTCGATATTCGAAATGACAGCCGTGATTACTTTCACGATACTTGTTCTCGATATACCATATGACAGCTGCGATTACCTTCATGATAATCGTTCTTGATATACCAAATGGCAGCCGTGATTACTTTCACGAAAATCCTTCTCGATATAGCAAATAACAGGCGTGATTACTTACAAGGTAATTGTTCTCGATATATCAAATGACAGCCGTGATTACTTTCAAGGTTATTGTTCTCGATATACCAAATGACAGGCATGATTACCTTCATGATAATTGTTCTCCATATATCAAATGACAGCCGTGATTACTTTCAAGATAATTGTTCTCGATATACCAAATGACAGTCATGATTGTTACCGCCGTAGAGTAGTAGAAAGATACGGATAGCATAGCACTGTAGAAACTCTTTCCCTTTTTGTCACTTGATCCTAAAACTAATGATTTGCGTAAAATGCGTTGCAATATAAATGGCCCAAACAGATAATAATTTCATTTATAATTAGGTTAATATTTGAATAACGATAGAATATTGTATTTTTGTTGTAAATAACGATTCTATAAGGAACTAAGAACTTTTTTATTTTATTTTTTGTAGTTTTAACGTTATCCGCAGTATTTGTATGGAAAAGTTTGAAGATGCGTTGTAACTTTATTGCGATGTATGACATGAAAAACGTTGATGCTGTATTACAAATAAACAGTTTATTTACATTTAGTCATATTTATATTCACGTGGCCATTCCACTGGCACTTCAGTGATTACTATCAAGATAATTGTTCTCGATATACCAAATGACAGCCGTAAATACTTTCAAGGTAATTGTTCTCGATACATGCAAAATGGCAGCCATGAGTACAGTTACGGTAAAAGTTCATATTCTTTACATATTTCAATTACGGCACTATTCATACACGATTGATCGTGTGGTTTAGTCTGAAAACTTAATAAATTCTCGTATTTTTTAATTTTAACCATCAACTATACTGGATCATCTTTCGAAGAAATAAGAACATGTATACTTTTACTGAACAAAATTATTTCATCAATTCTGCATAACAATAGGTTTCTTTGATAAAACAATAGGTGTCTTTATGTTTGAACATTATATAGTTCATGTCATTAACAGTGTCTTCAAAGTTATAGATATAATAGTTCATGTCAATAATATATTTAAAATGTTAATAACTTACAAGAGTTATCAACCTTAAGTATCAAAAGTCAGTATTTTGTTAATAAGGTGGAATTTACGTGTCTTCCACTTTGGTCTCTTTGATATCAATTTTGGTGTGTCTCTCTCTTCCTCCAAGCATCACAATCAAACAAAATGTTCCACTTTGGTCTTTTTGATATAACTTCGTTATTTTCCTCAGCAGCATACTTCTCTATACCAACTAACCTTAAAACGTCTTTGCTTTTGGCAATACCTGGTTGTTCTTGAATCATTTCTAGGTGAGAAAACTTATTTGTTTTATTTCTTTCGGAGGTTTTCTGAAATAGCCATACGCCTTGTGCCGGCCAATGTGCTGTTGCTGCCATTTCATCATAAGCTTCCTTTTTTAACTCAATGTCCTCTGATGTAGTCCATATTGCTGGAACCATACACACAAATACTACGAAGCGCCATCGATCAGAGTTTGGCCGACCTCTCGTTGGAGCAATATTATCGTGTATTGTTCTAGAATCCCATAATACCATTCCTCCCTTTGGAACCGGAATTTTCTTAATTTTACATCCTTTAGATATAAACCAATCGATTTCTTCTTTTGAGAGAATATAAAAATCTTCGCCTGCAGATTTTTCTTTCGCAGTGGGAAAATTTTCATAAAATTCTTTGTGAAACTGAACTGAATTTTCCAGCACTCTAAAGCAGAAATCTGTTTCTGACGTTTCTTCGAGATAGACGGCTCCTTGATATGCATGTAATCCTTCTCTCCAAGAGCCTTGATCAGTGTGTAACCAAAAGTAGTCAGAATTGCAAAAAGAAGATCGACCTGTAAAATATGAGAAAGTACATAATAGTATATCTTTAATGTCAATTCTATGTTTCAAAAGTGGACGAACCATCTTTTCTTCATATAAAATGAGTTTGATGTTAAGCAAATAAACTTTTTGTTTAATTGAAAACTATATTATAATTAATTCATAATATATTAATATACATGTGCCACAGTAAACTAAGCATATAGTTCACCCCCACCTTTTGATTCAATGAACAACATTTTCGGTGTACTGATAATTTTAAAGTGATAATAGATGTTAGTGACGGAATTGCTTCCCTTGAGTAGTAGATACAGCTGTTGAGATTTAGCTCAGTCGATTAGAGCGCTGACTTGTAACAAAGAAGTCTCGGGTTTGATTTCAGATGATTTTCTAATAAAGTTACATTTGGCGCCGAAGTAAAAAACCCATGGTAAAATCAGGATAGAGATGATATCTATCCAGGGTGCGTGCTGTGAGAGTCATATTGATATGATGACTCTTGGGGTGGGGGAAGTGTGACGGGATTTCTTTCTTAAAGGAGTGGATACTTAGCCACCCTAGGGAAGTTCTTAGCTCAGTCGGATAGAGCGCTGTATAGTATCACAGAGGTCACGGTTTCAAGTCCCGGAATTTGATTTGGTGATAAGAACATGTTTTACGCTTACATGTGCAACACAATCTTTTTACCTAGTTCTGGTGGCTCCTCCATTGCTACGCCGTCCATACTACTCAACAAATTCTCTGTCTGCCAAATAGACGCAAAAACTGGTTTGGATTTTAGCCGGACATTCCATGTCGGTTCAGCATGTGCAACCCTGAACTGATGAGTCAACGATTCCTCCCGATAAGGACGTTCATCGCCGAATCTGCTGAGCCATTCCTTGTATTGTGTTATGTACTGGTTACATTCCTCAGGGGTAAGGATGTCGGTAACAATACTGTAGCCTTTGCTTTCAAGCTCTAATACCACGCGTTGTCTGACATAAAATGAAAATTAAGATGAGTCATTATACTTTTTAATGTAGACAAGTTCCGTCTCTTCCTAATTAGATTGACATTTTTGTCCTCCATTTATTCCTTACCTCAGCCTTTCAGGATTTATATATTGTTTTTTTAGTGACAGTTACGTTAGAGACTGCGGGTGCATGTAACATTAATCCTAGAGACAGAGTTACAAAATTTAGGGTGGCAGAAAGGCTAGAGACTAATGGTGCACGTGACATTAAGCTCAGAGACCGAGGGTAACAGTTCGGTTGGAGACTTAGGGTTATTGTTAGGTAAGAGATTTGAAGTAACAGTTATGTTAGAGACTGAGGGTTAAAGTAGGTTAGAGAAAAATGGTTACAGTTAAGTTTTTAGAGACTTAATATCCCAGTTAGGTTATAGACGTTCCTTGCCAAATCATAAATATTACATGAACTCCACAATTCGATTTCAGGATATTCTTAAATCGACTTCAGGATGTCTTGAAATCGAATAATGGATATCCAGAAATCGGATTTTGGAAGTCCTGAAATTGAATTATACAGGTCATGAAATGTTTCAGGATGTCCTTAAATCAAATTGTGGAGGTCATGAAATATTTCAGGATATCATTAAATCGAATTGTGCAGGTCATGAAATATTTCATGATATCTTTAAATCGAATTGTGGAGGTCATGAAATATTTCAGGATATCTTTAAATCGAATTCGGGAGGTCATGAAATATTTCAGGATATCCTGAGATCGCAATACGAAGGTCCATAATGATTTATGGATATCTTGAACTCGAATTATGGAGGTACTGAAATATTTCATGATCTCCTTTAAAACAATAATTTTGACTTAATCCGCGCCTCATAAAAAAACTGTACTATCGGAGCAACTAAAGAACGTTAAATATCTACCCACCTATCCATGTAGCTAGTGTTCAAAAGATGTATGACTATTACGTGATAACTCTATCATCGGTAAGTATATTTGTTTACAGGGGTTACACATAGGTTACACATGTTAAAGATAAATATTGTTAGTGGTCTCGTGTAACACGTTTTAGTTATCTGCAATATTTATATACAGCTAAAGAGATAATACCTACACATGTATTTGATATTATAATTTAGTTTAACCACAGCTTGGAAGATACTAGTAACTGATAACCAACAATCACCACCAGCCTAATGTACTAACGAAAGGTACATACAATAACACCAGTCTATCATACTAACGATAGGTACATACAATAAAACCAGTCTAATATAATAACGAAAAGTACATACAACAAAACCAGTCTAATGTACTAACGAAAGGTACAGACAATAAAACCAGCCTGATGTACTAACGAAAGGTACATACAATAAACCAGCCTGGTGTACTAACGAAAGGGACATACAATAAAACGGTACCCGCCTAGAAAAGAAACGTAGTTTCTTAACTTCTATCAAAGAACTTATCATTAACTTTTGTAATACAATACATGAAAATAGTGAAATGACTATATTTGGAGAGTAAAAAGTTCTTTGGATGTTTTAGATAAATTACATGCTTTTGATGGTCCTTTTGATTCTGTTGACAGTTTTGACAATCTAATACAACCAACCTACATCCAGTAACACAACCAACCTACACCCAGAAACACAACCAATCTACACCCAGAAACACAACCAACCTACACCCAGAAACACAATCAACCTACACCCAGAAACACAATCAACCTACATCCAATAACACAACCAACCCACACCAGAAACACAATCAACCTACACCCAGAAACACAACCAACCCACACCAGAAACACAAACAACCTACACCCAGAAACACAACCAACAATCACCAAAAATACAACCAACGTACATCCAGTAACACAACAAACCCACACCCAGAAAAACAACCAGCCTACAACAGAAACACAACCAACCTACACCCAAAAACATAAACAACCTACATCCAGTAACACAACCAACCTACACCCAGAAACACAACCAACCTACATCCAGAAACACAACCAACCTACACCCAGAAACACAAACAACCTACAACAGAAACACAACCAACCTACAACAGAAACACAACCAACCTACACCCAGAAACACAACCAACCTAAACCCAGAAACACAATCAACCTACACCCAGAAACACAACCAACCTACACAAAGAAACACAATCAACCTTCACCCATAAACACATCCAACCAATACCTAGATTCCTGACCAAACTACACCCAGAAACACAACCAACCTACACCCAGAAACACAACCAACCTACACCCAGAAACACAACCAGCCTATACCCAGAAACACAATCAACCTACACCCAGAAACACAACCAACCTACACCACAAACACAACCATCGTACACCAGAACACAACCAATCTACACCCAGAAACACAAACAACCTACACCAATACACAAACAACCTACATCCTGTAATACAACCCACCTACTCCCAGAAACACATCCAACCTACACCCAGAAACACAACCAACCTACAACCAGAAACACAATCAACCTTCACCCATAAACACATCCAACCAATACCTAGATTCCTGACCAAACTACACCCAGAAACACAACCAACCTACACCCAGAAACACAACCAGCCTATACCCAGAAACACAATCAACCTACACCCAGAAACACAACCAACCTACACCACAAACACAACCATCGTACACCAGAACACAACCAACCTACACCCAGAAACTCAAACAACCAACACCAATACACAACCAACCTACACCCAGAAACACAACCCACCTACTCCCAGAAACACATCCAACCTACACCTAGAAACACAACTAACCTACACCCAGAAACACAACCAACGTACACCCAGAAACAAAACCAACCTACACCCAGAAACACAACCAACCTACACCCAGAAACACAACCATTCTACACCCAGAAACACAAACAACCTACACCCAGAAACACAACCAACCTACACCAGAAACACAACCATTGTACACCCAGAAACACAACCGACCTACACCCAGAAACACAACCAACCTACACCCAGAAACACAACCGACCTACACAAAGAAACACAACCAACATACACCCAGAAACGCAACCAACTTACACCCAGAAACACATCCAACCTACACCTTGAAACACAATCAACCTACACCACAAACACAACCAGCATACACCCAGACACACAACCAGCCTACACCCAGAAACACAAACAACCTACACCCAGAAACACAACCAACCTACGCCCTGAATAACAACCAGCATACAAACAGAAACACAACCAACCTACACCACAATACAATCAACCTACACAAGAACACAAACAACGTTCACCCAAAAACACAAGAAACAACCAACCTACACCCAGAAAAACAACCAACCTACACCCAGAAACACAACCAACGTACACCCAGTAACACAACCACCTACATCCAGAAACACAAACAACATGACAGAAAACCGGCGATTGAGTAACATGAAGTCCATAAACACACTGAGGTGTAGTCTGGTGCTCCGGGACGACCAGACAAACAACAGTACATAAAGCAGAGAAACATGAAACCAACAAAACCCTGAGGTGTAGTCTGGTGCTCCGGGACGAACAAACAAACAACAGTAGAAAACACTAGAGACTGAGCAACATAAACCTAACAAAGCATTGAAAAATCCTGAAGTGTAGTCTGGTGCTCCGGGACGAACAACAGTCAAGAAATGAAAGAAACACGAACCCAACAAAACCCGGAGGTGTAGTCTGGTGCTCCGGGACTACCAGACAAACAACAGTACATAAAGCAGAGAAACATGAAACCAACAAAACCCTGAAGTGTAGTCTGGTGCTCCGGGACGAACAAACAAACAACTGTACAGAACAAAAGAAACATGAACCCGACAAAATCCGGAGGTGTAGTCTGGTGCTCCGGGATGAACAGACAAACCACAGTACAGACACAGAGACTGAACATTACGAACTCCATAAAACGCTGAGGTGTAGTCTGGTGCTCCGGAACGAACAGACTACAACAGTACAGAAACATAAAGACTTGGCAAAAAATTGACCCCACAAAACCCTGATGTATAGTCTTGTGCTCCGGGAAGAACAGACAAACAACGGAAAGAAAACAAGAAACTGAGCAACGCGAACCCCACAAAACCCTGTTGTGTAGTCTGGTGCTCCGGAGAGTAAGTAGCCCCTGTTTCAGTTGTTACGACAGTCGTGTTATTCGTTCATAACACATTTCCGGTGACGAATCACCATAAAATAGTGAATTGGTAAATGGTCTTGTCTAACTTTAAGATCTATATAAACTGTTAGTACGTGTCACTATTATAACTAAGATCTATATAAACTGTTAGTACGTGTCACTATTATAACTAAGATCTATATAAACTGTTAGTACGTGTCACTATTATAACTAAGATCTATATAAACTGTTAGTACGTGTCACTATTATAACTAAGATCTATATAAACTGTTAGTACGTGTCACTATTATAACTAAGATCTATATAAACTGTTAGTACGTGTCACTATTATAACTAAGATCTATATAAACTGTTAGTACGTGTCACTATTATAACCATAAGACTATAAAATATGCATTTTCAATCTTAATACAAACATTATGGAATGTGAGGTGTACATCTACAATAGATATAAAAAGATGTGGTATTAGTGCCGATGAAACAATGTAAATTTGTTAACAAATCTTGAAGTTAAAAGGTTTTTAATTGCTTTAACGATCCGATAAGTTCTTTCATTTCCCGATCTAAATACTTGTTCTTTCAAGACAATTGTTCTCGATATACCAAATGACAACCGTGATTACGTTCATGGTAATTGTTCTCGATATACAAAATATCAACATTCATGGATGTTCTCGATATATCAAATGACAGCCCTGTTTACTTTCAAGATAATTGTTCTCGATATACCAAATGACAGCCGTGATAACTTTCATGATAATTGTTCTCGATATAACAAAATAACAGCCGTGATTGCTTTTAATGTAATTGTTTTCGATATACCAAATGACAGCCTTGATAACTCTCAAGATAATTCTTCTTGATATTCCAAATGACAGCTGTCATTACTTTCATGGAAATTGTTCTTGATATACCAAAATGACAGCCGTGATTACTTTCAGTTTATAACAAATGACAGCCGTGATTACTTTCATGGTAATTGTACTCGATATACCAAATGACAGCCGTGATTACTTTCACGATAACAGTTTTCGATATACTAAATTACAGCCGTGATAACTTTCATGATAATTGTTCTCTATGTACCAAATGACAGCCGTCATTACTTTCAAGGTAATTGTTCTCGATATACAAAATATCAACATTCATGGATGTTCTCGATATATCAAATGACAGCCCTGTTTACTTTCAAGATAATTGTTCTCGATATACCAAATGACAGCCGTGATAACTTTCATGATAATTGTTCTCGATATAACAAAATAACAGCCGTGATTGCTTTTAATGTAATTGTTTTCGATATACCAAATGACAGCCTTGATAACTCTCAAGATAATTCTTCTTGATATTCCAAATGACAGCTGTCATTACTTTCATGGAAATTGTTCTTGATATACCAAAATGACAGCCGTGATTACTTTCAGGTTATAACAAATGACAGCCGTGATTACTTTCATGGTAATTGTACTCGATATACCAAATGACAGCCGTGATTACTTTCACGATAACAGTTCTCGATATACTAAATTACAGCCGTGATAACTTTCATGATAATTGTTCTCTATGTACCAAATGACAGCCGTAATTACTTTCAAGGTAATTGTTTTCGATATACCAACTGACAGTCGTGATTACTCTCAAGATAGTTGTTCTTGATATTCCAAATGCCAGCCGTGATTACTTTCATGGAAATTGTTCTCGATATACCAAACGACAGCCGTGATTACTTTCATTGTAATTGTTCTCGATATACCAAATGACAGGCGTGATTATTTTCACAATAATTGTTCTCGATATACCAAATGACAGGCGTGATTATTTTCACAATAATTGTTCTCGATATACCAAACGACAGCCGTGATTACTTTCATTGTAATTGTTCTCGATATACCAAATGACAGGCGTGATTATTTTCACAATAATTGTTCTCGATATACCAAATGACAGCCGTGATTACTTTCACGATAATAGTTCTTGATATACTAAATGACTGTCGTGGTTACTTCCATTGTAATTGTTCTCGATATACGAAATGACGGGCGTGATTACTTTCACAATAATTGTTCTCGATATACCGAATGACAGCCGTGATTACTTTCACGATAATAGTTTTCGATATACCAAATGACTGCCGTGATTACTTTCATTGTAATTGTTCTCGATATACCAAATAACAGTCGTGATTACTTTCACAATAATTGTTCTCGATATTCCAAATGACAGCCGTGATTACTTTCACGATAATCCTTTTCAAAACAACAAATGACAGCCTTTATTGATTTCATGATAATCCTTCTCGAAATAACAAATGACAGTCGTGATTACTTTCAAGGTGATTGGTCTTTATATACCAAATGACAGCCGTAATTACTTTCACAATAGTTGTTGTCGATATACCAAATGACAGCCGTGATTACTTTCACGATATTTGCTCTCGATATATCAAATGACAACTGTGAATGCTTTCAAGATAGTTGTTCTCGATATACCAAATGACAGCCTTGATTACTTTCATGATAATAGTTCTCGATATACTAAATGACAGCCGTGATTACTTTCAGGATAATTGTTCTCGATAAACCAAATGACAGTCGTGATTGTTACCGCCGGAGAGTAGGAGAAAGGTACGGATAGCATAGCACTGTAGAATCTCTTTCGTATCTTTCACTTTTTGTTACTTGATTCAGAAACTAATGATGTGCGTAAATTGCGTTGCAATATCAACGGCCCAAAGAGGTTATAATTTCTTGTATAATTAGGTTGATATTTGAGTAACAATAGAATATTGTATTTTGTTGTAATTAACGATTCTATAAGGAACTAAGAACTGTTTACTTTTATTTTTTGTAGTTTTCAGGTTGTTAACAGTATTTGTATGGAAAAGTTTGAAAATGCGTTGTAATTTTATTGCGATGTATGCCATGAAACGTTGATGCTGTATTACAAATAAAGAGTTTATTTACATTTAGTCATATGTATATTCAAACGGCCATTCCACTGGCACTTCAGTGATTACTATCAAGATAAATGTTCTCGATATACCAAATGACAGCCGTGATTACTTTCAAGGTAATTGTTCTCGATATGCAAAATGGCAGCCATGAATACAGTTACGGTAAAAAGTTCATATATATCTTTACATATTTCAATTACGGCACTATTTATACACGATTGATCGTGTGGTCTAGCCTGAAAACTTAGTAAATTCTCGTTTTTTGACAATTTTAACTATTAACCATACTGAATCATCTTTCGAAGAAAAAAGAACATTTATACTTTTACTGAATAAAATTATTTCATCAATTATGCATAAATAAGTCATTAACAATAGGTTTCTTTGATAAAACAATAGGTGTCTTTATGTTTGAACATTATATAGTTCATGTCAACAGCAGTGTTTTCAAGTTATAGATATTATAGTTCATGTAAACAATATATTTAAAATGTCAATAACTTACAAGAGTTATCAACCTTAAGTATCAAAAGTCAGTATTTTCTTAATGAAGTGGAATTTACGTGTCTTCCATTTTGGTCTCTTAGATATCAATTTCGGTGTGTCTCTCTCTTCCTCCATGCATCGGAATCAAACAAAATGTTCCACTTTGGTCTTTTTGATATAACTTCTTTATTTTCCTCAACAGCATACTTCTCTATACCAACTAACCTTAAAACATCTTTTCTTTTGGCAATATCTGGTTGTTCTTGAATCATTTCTAGGTGAGAAAACTTATTTGTTTTATTTCTTTCGGAGGTTTTCGGAAATAGGCATACGCCTTGTGCCGGCCAATGTGCTGTTGCTGCCATTTTATCATAAGCTTCTTTTTTTATTTCAATGTCCTCTGATGTAGTCCATTTTGCTGGAACCATGCACACCAATACTACGAATCGCCATCTATCGGAGTTTGGCCGACCTCTCGTCGGAGCAATATTATCGTGTATTGTTCTAGAATCCCATAATACCATTCCTCCCTTTGGAACCGGAATTTTCTTAATTTCACATCCTTTAGATATAAACCAATCGATTTCTTCTTTTGAGAGAATATAAAAATCTTCGCCTGCAGATTTTTCTTTCGCAGTGGGAAAATTTTCATAAAATTCTTTGTGAAACTGAACTGAATTTTCCAACACCCTTAAGCAGAAATCTGATTCTGACGTTTCTTCGAGATAGACAGCTCCTTGATAGGCATGCAATCCTTCTCTCCAAGAGCCTTGATCAGTGTGTAACCAAAAGTAGTCATAATTGCCAAAAGCAGAGCGACCTGTAAAATATAAGAAAGTACATATATCTTTATGTCAATTCTATAAGAAAGTGCATATATTATTATGTCAATTCTATAAGAAAGTACATATATCTTAATGTTAATTCTATCTTTCAAAAGTGAACGAACCATCTTTTCTTCATATAAAATGAATTTGAATGTTAAGCAAATAAACTTTTTGTTTAATTGAAAACTATATTATAATTAATTCATAATAATTATATATTAATACATATGTGCCACAGTAAACTAAGCATATAGTTCATCCCCACCTTTTGATTCAATGAACAACATTTACGGTGTACTGATAATTTTATTTTTGAGAATAGATGTGTGTGACGGAAGTGCTTCCCTTGAGTAGTAGATACAGCGGTTGAGCTTTAGCTCGGTCGATTAGAGCGCTGATTTGTAACAAAGAAGTCTCGGGTTTGATTTCAGGTGATTTTCTAATAAAGTTACATTTGGCACCGAAGTAAAAAAAATCCATGGTAAAATCAGAATAGAGATGATATCTATCCAGGTTGCATGCTGTGAGAGTCATAATGATATGATGACTCTTGGGGTGTGGGAAATGTGACGGGATTTTTTATTTAGAGGATTGGATACTTAGCCACCCTATGGAGGTTCCTAGCTCAGTCTGATAGAGCGCTGTCTAGTATCACAAAGTTCACGGTTTCAAGTCCCGGAAGAGATTATTTAATTTTCTGTTCAGAAACATGTTCTACGCTTACATGTACAAAATCTGTTTACCTAGTTCTGGTGGCTCCTCCATTGCCACGCCGTCCATACTGCTTAACAAATTCTCTGTCTTCCAAATAGACGCAAAAATTGGTCTGGATTTGAGCCGGACATTCCATGTCGGTTCAGCATGTGCAACCCTGAACTGATGAGTCAACGATTTATCACGATAAGGACGTTCATCGCCGAATCTGCTGAGCCATTCCTTGTATTGCGTTATGTACTGGTTACATTCCTCATGGGTAAGGATATCGGTAACAATACTGTAGCCTTTGCTTTCAAGCTCTGACAACACTCGTTTTCTGACATAAAATTAGAATTAAGATGAGTCATTATACTTTTAAATGTGGATAGGTTCTGTATCTTCATAATTAGATTGACAGTTTTGGCCTCCTACATTTATACCTTACCTCAGCTTTTCAGGATTCATCTTTTATTTTTCTAGTGACAGTTACGTTAGAGACTGTGTGTGCATGTGACATTAAGATTAGAAACTAAGGGTTACAATTCGGTTAGAGACTTACGGTTAAGGAAAGGCTAGAGACTTAGGGTGCACGTGAGATTAAGCTTAGAGACCGAGGGTTACAGATCGGTTACAGACTGAGGATTACAATAAGTTAGAGACTGAGGGTTACAGTTAGGTTAGCCTCAGTTTACCCTCAGTCTCTAGCTTACCATAACACTCAGAATAACTATCTATAACCCTCCATATCTAACCAAACTACAACCCTCAGACTATGTTCTAACTGTAACCCTCAGTCTCTTACCTAGCCATAACCCTCAGGTTTTAACCGAACTGTAACGCTCAGTCGCTAACCTAAATGTAACCCTTAATATCTGACCAATTTGTAACCCTCAGTCTCTAACCTTACCATAACTCGCAGGTTATAACATAACTATAACCCTCAGTCCTAAATCTAAATGTAACCCTCAGTTTCTAACCTATATGATACCCTCAGTCTCTAACCTATCTGTAACCATAAGTCTCTAACCCTCAATATCTATTCTAAAAATAAGCATCAATATCTAACTTAACTGTAACCTTAAATCTCTAACCTAACTATATCACTCAATATCTAACCTAACTGTAACCCTCAATATATTACCCTACTGTAACCCCCAGTCTCTGACCTAACTGTAACCTTCAGTATCTAACCTAACTGTAACCCTCAGTATCTAACCTAACTGTAACCCTCAATATCTAACCTAACTCTAAGCCTCAATATATTACTTAACAGTAACCCTCAGTCTCTAACCTAACTGTAACCTTCAATATCTAACCTAATTGTAACCCTCAGTCTCTAACCTAACTGTAACCCTCTATATCTAACCTAACTGTTACCCTCAGTATTTAACCTATAACTGTAACCCTCAGTATCTAACCTAACTGTAACCCTCAATATCTAACCTAACTCTAAGCCTCAATATATTACTTACGGTAACCCTCATTATCTAACTTAACTGTAACCTTCAGTATCTAACCTATCTGTAACCTTCAGTATCTAACCTAACTGTAACCCTCAGTATCTAACATAACTGTAATCCTCACTATCTAACCTAACTCTAAGCCTCAATACATTACCTAACTGTAACCCTCAGACACTTACCTAACTGTAACCCTCTATATCTAACCTCACTCTAACCCTCAGTATCTAACCTAATTGTAACCCTCAGTCTCTAACCTAACTGTAACCCTCTATATCTAACTTAACTGTAACCCTCAGTATTTAACCTATAACTGTAACACTCAATATCTAACCTAACCATAGCTCTCAATATCTAACCTAACCATAATCCTCAGTCTCTGCTTTTACTGTAACCCTCAGTCTCTAAACCTGCCATATACCTCAGTCTCTAACCTATCTGTAACCCTCATTCTCTAACCTATATGCTACCCTCAGTCTCTAAACTATATGCTACCCTCAGTCTCTAACCTATCTGTAACAATCAGTCTCTAACCTATCTGTAACAATCAGTCTCTTACCTATCTGTAACAGTCAGTCTCTAACCTATCTGTAACAGTTAGTCTCTAACCTATCTGTAACAATCAGTCTCTAACCTATCTGTAACAGTCAGTCTCTAACCTATCTGTAACAGTTAGTCTCTAACCTATCTGTAACAATCAGTCTCTAACCTATCTGTAACAATCAGTCTCTAACCTATCTGTAACAGTCAGTCTCTAACCTATCTGTAACAGTTAGTCTCTAACCTATCTGTAACAATCAGTCTCTAACCTATCTGTAACAGTCAGTCTCTAACCTATATGCTACCCTCAGTCTCTAACCTATCTGTAACAATCAGTCTCTAACCTATCTGTAACCCTCAGTCTCTAACCTATCTGTAACCCTCAGTCTCTAACCTATCTGTAACCCTCAGTCTCTAACCTATCTGTAACCCTCAGTCTCTAACCTATATGCTATCCCCAGTCTCTAACCTATCTGTAACAATTAGTCTCTAACCTATCTGTAACAATCAGTCTCTAACCTAACTGTAACCCTCAATATCTTACCTCAGTGTAACCTTAAGTCTCTAACCTATCTGTAACCCTCATTATCTAATCTAACCATAACCCTCATTATCTAACCTAACAATAACCCTCAGTATCTGCCCTTACTGTAACCCTCAGTCTCTAACCTCATCATAACCCTCAGTCTCTAACATATTTGTAACCCTCAGTATCTGCCCTTATTGTAACCCTCCGTCTCTAACCTATCTGTAACCCTCAGTATCTGCCCTTACTGTAACCCTCAGTCTCTAACCTATCTGTAACCCTCAGTCTCTGCCCTTACTGTAACCCTCAGTCTCTAACCTATCTGTAACCCTCAGTCTCTGCCCTTACTGTAACCCTCAGTCTCTAACCTAACCATAACCCTCAGTCTCAAACCTATTTGTAACCTTCAGTCTCTATCCTAACTTCAATCCTTAGTCTCTAACCTATATGCTACCCTAAGTCTCTAACCTATCTGTAACCATTAGTCTCTAACCTGATTGTAACCCTCAGTCTCTTTGCTCTAACTGTAACCCTCAGTCTCTAACCTAATTGTAAACCTCAATCTCTAACCTAACTGTAACCCTCAATATCTAACTTAACTGTAAGCCTCAATATTTAACCTAGCTGTAACCCTTAATATCTAACCTAACCATAACTCTCAATATCTAACCTAACCATAAGCCTCAGTCTCTGCTCTTACTGTTACCCTCAGTCTCTAACCTTGCCATAGACCTCAGTCTCTAACCTAACTGTAACCCTCAGTCTCTAACTTATATGCTACCCTCAGTCTCTAGCCTATCTGTAACAATCAGACTCTAACCTATCTGTAACAATCAGTCTCTAACCTAACTGTAACCCTCAATATCTTTCCTCAGTGTAACCTTAAGTCTCTAACTTATCTGTAACCTTAAGTCTCTAACCTTTCTGTAACCCTCAATATCTAACCTAACCATAACCCTCAATATCTAACCTAACAATAACCCTCAGTATCTGCCCTTAAAGTAACCCTCAGTATCTAACCTATTTGTAACCCTTAGTCTCTGCCAATACTGTAACCCTCAGTCTCTAACCTATTTGTAACCCTCAGTCTCTGTCCTAACTTCAATCCTTAGTCTTTAACCTATATGCTACCCTCTATATCTAACCTAACTGTTACCCTCAGCATTTAACCTAGCTGAAACCCTCAATATCTAACCTAACCATAACTCTCAATATCTAACCTAACCATAAGCCTCAGTCTCTAACCTAACTGTAACCATCAGTCTTTAACATAACCATAACCCTCAGTCTCTGTCCTAACTGTAACTCTCAGTCTCTAACCTATTTGAAACCCTCAATATCTAACCTCATTGTAATCTTAAGTCTCTAACCTAACTGTAACCCTCAGTCTCTAACCTAACTGTAACCCACAGTATCTAACTGTAACCCTCAGTATCCAAACTAACTGTAACCCTCAATATCTAACCTAAATGTAACCTTAAGTCTCTAACCTAACTGTAAATCTCGGACTGACATATACATGACTGATTCCAAAATATCCTGAAATATCACATGAACTCCACAATTCGATTTCAGGATATTCATAAATCGACTTCAGTCTATCTTTACAGCCGATTCCAACGAGTGTGTAGCTAAAGGTAGAATCTTTGGTTAGCTTCCTTGCTAGCTCAACCATGAAATGATTATTACCTTAAAATTGGGAGGAGCAAAGCACCATTTTATCATCCAATGAAAACATTTATATCAATGGCCTGTTTATTATTTATGATATATGTATGTTTCATACAAAGGTTTACCTAGACTACTTTGCAAATAAAATTTCATTTCTTAGTCTTTGATTGAATTAAAAAATCTTTTTATTACAATAAATTAGAAGCGGAGTAACGTTTTGGTTTTTTTTAAATATTTACGCCGTGAATAGTTAATAAGTGTCTTTAGGTGCACACAAAAAAACATTCAATTTGTTATGGTCTTGGTGTCTTTTCTTCATATATATGCATAGTTTTTAGAACTAAAATCTTTTATATTCACACAGAAAAGAAAAAAATATCATACTACTTAATATCATGCACGGTTGCATTTGTGGACCTTTTATTTAGTTAAAAATGCAACGAAAAAAAAAACAGCAAACAACTGCAGTCTGGAATTGAAAATATTGCAGAGTTTATCAACATCCACTTGGTCCGTTAACATTACCTTACTTATTAGTTTTAGATAAATAATGCAGCCATGAAGAACAATTTTTATGTCTCTACTTCAGTTTTAATCTGACCTAGATTGAATGATCAGGTCATATGTACTTTTGGACACCTTCCAATCTTTTTTACTTGTCCGGGTGTATTTTAAGTAATATTTAGAGTATATTTAATTGTGTGTATGTGTAAAAGTGAATACGGTCAGCGCTTGTCAATCATATCCAACTACATTTTATTAACTTGATGTAACAAATTCAACAGACAAGCGCTGACCGTATTCACTTTTATTCTGACGAAGAAGAAAAAAATAAGGAATTTCAGCTTTTAGTTAACTTTTCATCATTTTGGCAAATCAAACTCACCTACAACATGCATGCTTGTGAATGAGCTTATAAGTATCACTAAATTTTAAATTTAGATTGAAAACTTATTTTTAAACTGACTTGTAAAACTAGTTTTACGATGTTTATATTCTGTCACTTAATTCTGATTGGTTCTCTGCTTAACTATTGACTCCACCCAAAGGCTGGATGTGCCTTACCATTAATGATTTCATGGTTGAGCTAGCAAGGAAGCTAACCAAAGATTCTACCTTTAGCTACACACTCGTTGAAATCGGCTGTAAATCGAATAAAGGATATCCAGAAATCAGATTGTAAATGTCCTGAAATTGAATTGTGGAGATCATGAAATATTTCCGGATGTCCTTAAATCAAATCAGGGAGGTCATGAAATATTTCAGGATATCTTTAAATTGATTTGTGGAGGTCATGAAATATTTCATGATCTCCTTTAATACAATAATGTTGACTAAATCCGCGCCTCATAAAAAACTGTACTCGGAGCAACTAAAGAACGTTAAATATTTACCCACCTATCCATGTATCTAGTGTTTAAGAGATGTATGGCTATGTGATAAACATATCATAGGTTAGTGTATTTGTATACAGGGGTTAAACATAGGTATGTTAAAGATAAATATTTTTTGTTACAATTTATATACACAACTAAAGAGATAATACATACAAATGTATTTGATAAAATAATTTTGTTAAACTACAGTTGGGAAGATGCTAGTACTATTGGTAA